GGTATCTAAATGGCTCATGCATGGTTGTGCATTCAGTCTCTATTAAGGTTCAAAAGCAATCCTGCCGGGAGCCGGTCCATCCTTGCTGCTTGACAGTCGCTGCAGAGAAGAAACATCTGCACAGCATATGTTTCAAGGGACCTGGCGTATATGGCATACTGTTCTTAATATGTTTGCTCCCCTTCTTGGCGCTATGTGTTTTAACCAAGGTCACCTCTCCAAGAAAGGTTGTTTCCCCAGGTAGGAATTTTTCCCTGAAGTTAGGGAGGGAGTGAAACCCCTTAACTAAGTGCCAGGTGGGTAGTTAATCACTTTAACTATGAACAATCATGCTTAAGCTACATAATCTTTACTCCCTGGAATGGAGATAAGAAATGCCCTAACCTTTGCAATAGAAATTGATAGGATTAAAATCAACTGGTATAAATACAGATGTAACAAGACAGCAGAAAACAGAACCTAGAGACAGAACCTAGCAAGAGAACATGGCAAAAGATCCTGGACAGAACCGGGCTACAGAACTTCGCTGGAGAACCTAGACAGAACATGGTGGGAGAACCTGGATAGAACTTGGCTGGAGATCCAGGCTAGAACATTGCTGGAGATCCTAACCAGAACTTCGCTGGAGGTCCTGACCAGAACTTGGCTGGAGATCCAGGCTAGAACATTGCTGGAGATCCTAACCAGAACTTCGCTGGAGGTCCTGACCAGAACTTGGCTGGAGATCCAGGCTAGAACATTGCTGGAGATCCTAACCAGAACTTCGCTGGAGGTCCTGACCAGAACTTGGCTGGAGATCCAGGCTAGAACATTGCTGGAGATCCTAACCAGAACTTCGCTGGAGGTCCTGACCAGAACTTGGCTGGAGATCCAGGCTAGAACATTGCTGGAGATCCTAACCAGAACTTCGCTGGAGGTCCTGACCAGAACTTGGCTGGAGATCCAGGCTAGAACATTGCTGGAGATCCTAACCAGAACTTCGCTGGAGGTCCTGACCAGAACTTGGCTGGAGATCCAGGCTAGAACATTGCTGGAGATCCTAACCAGAACTTCGCTGGAGGTCCTGACCAGAACTTGGCTGGAGATCCTGGCTAGGCTGCTGATCAACTGAACGCTGTCTCCGTGTCATTCCTTCTTCGCCGACTCCGTCCACACCTTTGGGGACCCCTGGACCTGCTGGGGTTGGACCCCAACACAATCCAACAGCTGTTTTTCCAAAAACAATATACTAGTATCTGCATGTAAGTGTCTTACAACAAAGTCTAGAGTAGCTGCTGCATTTTGCTCACCAGGTCAAATCAGCATTGTGTCATCAATTAATGGACCAGTGTGCTATCTTGTGGAATGGAAATGAGTTATGGTTCCTAGGTAACTGGGGCTTTCAGGGTTTGCTTAGGCTCATGAAGGCCTATTTGAAGTTAGAGGTCATGAGTATAAATGAGACCAATTTATTTATTTGTTTCCTGAAGCCATGTTTATATGAACAGGTGCAAGTATGTAAGAGTCAGGAAGTTTAAAATAACCAGGGTTGTGGTTTGACCAAGTACAAAGAGACAAGAGAAGGGCAAGAGCATTGGGTGTATGTAAGGGAGTGATTATGATTGACCATGCAATTTAAGCTAGATAAGGACAAAAGTTAAGATATTAAGGGTGAGAGACAATAAAAAGATGTTAAAACCTCAGAGGGAAGGCAGCGGAGGGTGGGTGGGTGAAAAGAACTTGTATGCATATATGCAGAGCCCATGGACACATACAATAGGGTGGAGAAGACCTGGGGCAGGTGGTGGGGGGCGAGCTAAAAGGGATCAATGGGGGGGAAAGGAGATATATGTAATACTTTTAACAATAAAGATGTAAATTTTTTTAAAAAAAATATGTTAGAATAAATGAATAGCAGTTTCTAGTACAGTCAGAAGGTTGTTGGAATTTTCCAGATTCCAAGCTAAAAAGAGAGGAGATGGTTGTCAGAGAGTGGAATACGTCATACTGAGATGACTGAGAGGCAGTAGTTACTAGGAATGACAAGGATTAAGTTATGGATGAGAGTATGTAGCTGAGTAGGGTAGAGGATAAAGTTATTGGAGGAGAGGAGGTCAAGGCACTGAGAAAAAATTATTAGATGGATCATCTATGTGAACACTGAAGCCAACTGGGAATTATGACAAGAACAGGGTTTGAGACAGTGTCAGGGAGTTAGGATCTAAAATCTCTAAGGAATGTAGCGGGGAGGTGGGGCTTGGATGGTGTTTGAACACTGGAGCAGGGAAAGGCAGTTAGTGTTGTAACTTGATGTCATAAAATTTACATGGGAATGTTTATGGAGGAGGGAGGAAGAATGAAGGATCAACAAGGAACAGGCATGTCATCTTTTCTACCTGCAGGCCTAATAGTAGTGGAGTTTGGGCTGCAGCGAAGAGGGCTGCAGGGTTGATTGATTTTAAAGCAAGAAGTGAAGGGAATGTTCAGAGAAGGCAATTTTGTGTCTTAGAGGGGACAGTGGAAAGATTTAAGGTATTGAACAAGCTAAGAAATGGGTCAGAAAAGGGGATGTTCAGAGTCTTATGGGTAGTAGAGTCCCAAAGATGACTTTGGTGTTTTGTGGCAACTAAAATCAACAGGCATAAAGGGTATAATGCGATTAATCTTGATGAAAGTCTTTGATAAAAAAAAACAACTTTCAGAATTGAAGCTATAATGAAACAAATGTGAAACCTCAATGCCTACTCAAGGACAAGCTTGGAGTTAGATTAGTCACAAGTGAAATGCCTGTTGGCAAAGTGTGTGCCTTGTAAAGGGCACAGGGTGGTATATGAAGTTATGAAGAAATCCGAAGACCTTGAAGATAATCAAGGTTTATTATTCATTACCTTTAATCTACATCCTAAAGCAATTATTGCTGCTATCTCAAAGACTTTCATTATCATAAGAAAAGCTTTTTCAAAAGCTGGGTGGTAAGTTTCTGCCCTCTTGCCTGAGAGGAGTTTGAACAGCTGTAGCACCTTGTTGATGTATAGACATTTTACCAGTTAATACATTCAAATAAAATTAGATACTTGAAACTTGATTTTTTTAAAAATCACAAAAGATCAAAGCAGTCATAACTGACCAACATAAATTCAAAATGAAAATGGTGGGGGATGCCAAACTTTAAAAATGGACATAAATGTTTATAGGCACATAAAAAGCTAACAGTTCTCTCTGTGGTTCCTAAAATCAAAAACACATGATGCAGGCAAAAAAAAAAAAAAAGGGGGGATAGGAATATTAATTATTGTTTGATTCCTGTCTTGGTCAACCCCCTTATCTTTTCCCTTAGACCTGTGTGTCTCCTCTTTACTTATTTATAATAGAAATTCAGAACTATTATTACTACTTTTGAATGTTGAGAGATGAAAAACCTTCTGGTTGGGGACAACCAAGGCTGTGACTGGCTTGGAGAGGGCCATGTAACTACAGGATGGTATAACTAGGAATGAGGTATAGAGCAGGTGGTTGTGGCATGGTTGTAGTTTTCCCTGTTTTGTGATTGAGGTATTTGCAACTCTGAAAACTCCTGTTTGCTAAAATGGGTAGAGTGCTGGAATGGATAATTGTGCAATGTTTTAAAGATTTAGATGGAAGGCAGGAATGAGAACCTTATCATTTACTATTTAGGTTCTTTTTTAAGTTTCTGCAATGACAATGTAGAAGACAATACTACACCATTGCAAATTATAGAGAGAACAAACTAGGGTCTGTAAAGCTCATGGTTTTTTGTTTGTTTGTTTGTTTTTTGGTGTGCAATTAAATTAAGTTGACATTTTTTTATTAAAATTTTTGTAGAAATTATCCCCTTAGTTTTGGAATGTTTTACATAAAATAATTACTCTGGTTGCAGCAAACCTCTCTAATTATTTAGATAAGCTCTTTAACGTTGTAGGGGGAAATTATATACATTTTTTCATATCCCAACTGTCCCATCTTCAGGGGAAGCCTTACCTAACTAGGTCACATATTCTGTAAAAAATCTTCAGAGCATCCTGTATTTCTCTCTATTACTTATTACAATTAATTTTGTTTTTTATTACTTAAAGTATTACAAAGGGTATTACATATGTCTCCTTTTTTCCCCCTCCCTTGACAATCCCCTGGCCTTCCCAACACAATTAATTTTTTAAAAATTCTTGAATGTCTTTCTTCTACCCTAGGTGGTAAGTTCTATGAGGACAAGGATCATGTTTATCTTCCTTCCTATTCCTTACCAAGTACCCAGTGCAGTATTTCCTAGTACTCAGCACTCAATAATCTATCTATATCTATATCTATATCTATATCTATATCTACATCTATATCTATATCTATATCTATATCTATATCTATATCTATATCTATATCTATATCTATATCTATATCTATATCTATATCTATATCTATATATATCATCTATCTATCTGCCTAAGTGGCCAGTCGGTGGTCCCTATGATGACGCACTGAACACCAGGGGGCAGATGCTCAACGCAGGAGCTGCCCCCTAGTGGTCAGTGCACTCCCACAGCCAACCTCCCGCAGTCCCATCCCCTGGCTGGCCGGCCCCAATAGGCCCCGATCACCGGCCAGGCTAAGGGACTCCACCCATGCATGAATTTGTGCACTGGACCTCTAGTTATTAAATAATGAATTTTGGGTTTTTGTAAAAATGCAATTTGGGATATCCTCATGTGGACACAGCGAGAGAAACATCAGAGGAAAAGAGGAGGAGATAAAAACATTAATGATGAGAGAGAATCAGTGATTCTCTGCATGCCCCACTGGGGATCAAGCCTGCAACCCAGGCATGTGCCCTGACCGGGAATCAAACTGTGACCTCCTGGTTCACAGGTTGATGCTCAACCACTGAGCCACACCAGCTGGGCAATAAAAATATATTTTAAAAAACTTAAAAGAAAAAAGAATCAGAGATAGGAACAAAGCAGGCCAGTTATCTTTCTGTTTTTTAATGTCCTATACTTTTTTACTTTCAGATCAATCAGAAGAAATATTACTGTTTTTGAAAACATACCTAAGTGGATTGATTCTACTTTCTTTTTTATGTTGTGGCCTTGGGTAAGTTACACACTTGGACCTCTGTTTCTTCATCTGCAAAATGGGGATAGTACCACCTTATTCCAAGGATTGTTTTGTAGGTTAAATGTTTTAGTATGCATCAAGTATCTGACACATAATGGCACAGAAGAACCATTTATTTCCACTCTTTTATCAGTTGGTGGTTAAGGGGAAGGAAGGAATAAATAGAGTATAGGGGATTTTTATGGTAGTGAAACTATTCTATGTGATGGTGTAATGATGGACACACGATATGATGCATTTGTTAAACTCATAGAATATATAACACAAAGAGGAAACTCTAATGTAAACTGTGGTCTTTAGTTAATAATGTACCAATATTGGTTCATCAATTGTAACGAATGTGCCACACAATACAAGTTGTTAATAATAGGGAAAAATTTAAATCATTTACACTTTCTGTGGAATTTTTCTGTAACCTAAAGCTGCTCTACAAAGACCTATTAAAAAAACCCAAACACATTAATGGCTGACACACAGATGCTTAATGTTTGGTTAATGAATGAATACGAGCCATGACTGCCCTACTGCCCCACCCCCATCAATTTCTGAACTCTGTTCCTTAATATATAATATAAAGTTAAATGCTACAAATAACTTTATGAAAGATGTGAAAACTGAAAAATATAAGGAAATATGCAAGTTTATTACAGAGTTCTAGAAAAAGCCACTTTCTAGACATTTGAAAAACCTTCCACAACACCAGAAACCCACAAACCAGAGATAATTAAAAATATATATATATTATTATTGATTTCAAAGAGGAAGGGAGAGGGGGAGAGAAAGAGATAGAAACATCAATGACAAGAGAGTATCATCGATCACCTGCCTCCTGTAGGCCCCACACTGGGGACAGAGTGTACAACCCAGGCATGTGCCCTGACTAGGAACTATGACCTCCTGGTTCATATGTCAGTGCTCAACCACGGAGCCATGCCAGCCGGGAAATTTTTTTTTTCAAGTTTCTGCTAATAGGCTTGCTAGAGGACAGTGGATCAATCACATGATCATATTCATACTGGGCCAATTAGCTTTGCTCTCTTCCTGAATCACAAACTGCATTGTTCATTCTGTCTGCCCTTTTTCTTGCAAGATACATACCATCTTCATTAAACAAAACAAAATAAAAACATATTATGAAAGATGTTATTTACCTCATTCATCTATTCTGGAACCTGGGATCTTTAATATAGTGCCAAACAGGGTCTGTTGGTTCTGAGATTTGATTTTACCATGCTTGCAAGCTAATAAGTTAGCCTGTTACTATTTCACTGATGCATCAGTATGCTTGCCTTGGTTCCCTTGCCCCTCATTCACACAGGGCCTGGTTGGGAGCCTGCACATGCAGTTGGCTATATTGTATGATAGCAACACCGACCTTGGGAATCCACTGTTATTATAGCAAGCCTGCTTTTTGTGTGGAATGGATACATTACCTTATCTCTCAATTTGCTCTCTGCAAACACAACCTTGAGAAATGGTCAGGGCTGTTCGTTTTTGGCATACACTGAACGAATGTGCAGTATGCTAACTGCCCATGGCACTTTGCCTCTCCCAACAGGTCCTTTCAGTTCTAGTATCTAACAATACTTAGGGAAAGAAATTTTTTACATAAGGACTTCTAAAAACAACAGATACGCATTTCTATGTACAGTTGACTTATGTATAGGTATACAAAATCAAATATTAATTATTTATAAATGGGATACTACTGTCAATTTCTATTTTCTCCTTAATAAGTATTCTTATCTCTTCTGGTCCAATCTAGATTTTTTTCTTCCACCTCCTCCTAATCCTCTTTTGGAGGGTTCCTTGCAAATAGGAGACATTTTTTGTATCAAAGCCCTTATTACTATTCACAGAAATTTCTTTATCTTTGCATCTGCAATTCCTAGTGCATACTTCAAATATGGTCCTTTTCTAATATGACTGCTGTGAACCTTGTTTTCTTTGTCATGCCCTGTTTTCTGTGATGGCAAAGGCTATGGTCTACTCTCTTTGACAGGAAAAATTACTTCCTGTTTGATATTCAGATGGAAAGCTGAACCACAATGGACAGAAACATGGCCACTATAACGCTTCCTGGGTAACATTATTAGATAATCTTCCACTTGCCTGCGTCAGTGCCAGGGACATTGCTGTTTATTCACTCATTCTCAGTATTGTGTGGATTGTAAAAATCCATGGAAATTGGATTTAATATTCAGTCTACAGATATTTTATAAAAATGAATGTCCTTAATGAATAAAATGGAATAAGGCTAAATTGAGTGCATATAGTTTATAACTATCAATTATATAGTAAAGGCTGTGGAATGTCTGTACCAATTCAAAATATAATTTAAAATCCTATCAGTACTCTTTTATCCTCCAGAATAATATGTTAATCATGTATGTTGATGTAATTATTGCTATTAGCAAAGTAGGTAGAGTTGATTTTTGTCTCTCCCTTGTCTTTGCTTATCCTTATTGTTGCTTATAAGAAAGCAGTGAGCCCTAGCCGGTTTGGCTCAGTGGATAGAGTATCAGCCTTTGGACTGAAGGATCCCTGGTTTGATTCTGGTCAAGGGCAAATGCCCGAGTTGTGGGCTCGATCCCCAGGAGGGGGCATGCAGGAGGCAGCCGATCAATGATTCTCATCATTGATGTTTCTATCTCTTTTTCCCTCTCCCTCTCCCTTCTTTTTTGAAATCAATAAGAAAATATATTTTAAAAAAATAAAGCAATGACAGCATGAAATAGATTGCATTATCTGTGAATACAGAGAGAAAAAAAGAAACTCTCCTAATCTCATGCTAATTTTCCTAAAGGTCCAGTTTTATCTCATTGTTTCAAAACTGAGCATCCCATGCCCTTTTTTTGGGAAGCACAGGGGTTATGCTCAGTGGGATATCAAATGGTGATTACATTTTGAGAAATTGAGTAAAAATAATAGATAGTGTTCTCTCTTTCTACTTCTCCTGATGTAAGTAACTCCCTTGGTGAAAGTCACATATATTCAGAAACTGCATTAACATTTGAAGGCCACTTTGGTGCTAGTTAATAAATTATCTTTTCAGCATACTAAAATAGCACCTAGATGGACATTCCAATGGCTTTCAGAGACAGAATAGTGTAGCAAGGCAGGGTTATTGAGAATCACGAACAGGAGCTCAATTGGGGAGTTAGATTGCCTGGGTTTAAAACCCAGTGGCACAATTTACTAGCTATACGACCTTGGGAAAATCTCCAGGCTTCAGGCGTCTCATAGGATGGTATTAAACATAGAACATAGGGCTTTTTGGATGATTAAATGAGATAATCCATGGAAGGCACTTAGCTTAAGTGCCTGTCACCTAATATTCATTATATAAATGAGAGCTCTTATTATTTCTTGGGATTATAATAACATATTAAAAATAGTAATAGTTAATGAGTACTTGCTATGAACTTGGCACTGCATTTTTCAGAAGCACTGATTTATTTAATTCTCTGAGGTAGTGATCTGAACACAAAGGATGGCATTGTCAAATCAGACACATGACAGTCAGAGATCTTACCCTGCATCAAGCTTTACTAATATTCATTATAAGTAATCATGAGGAGCAGGCTTGGCAGAGAGAGGTCTGAGACCACCAACACAGATTCCCACATCCTTTCTTCCATTAGTATTCACTCTGGCACAGATTAACATGAAGTCTCTACATTAGTAATGCAAGTTGCTGTATCACTTACACAAAGGGAGCTTTTTCAGTAATGACATTTCCATTTTACACCTACTGGGGATCGAGCCCACAACCCCGGGCATTACTAGTTTACCCGACATTTTCCAGTGTCCTGGCCCATACTAGTAAATCCTTAGGTTCCAGGTTTGTCTACTCTAAGTAAACAAACCAGAGGAAGTATATCCCACTAAAGTCTTTCAATAGGCAAGGGCTGTATTAGTCCACTAGAACTGCCATACAAATTACTGAAAACTGGGTGACTTAAAAAACAGAAATTTATTTTCTCAGTTCTTGGGCCTAGAAGTCCAAGATCAAAGTGCAATTAGTGTTGATTTCGATGAGGTCTCTTCTCCTGGGTGTAAATGGCAACCTTCTCACTGTGTCCTTACATGGCCTTTCCTATGTGCCCATGCAGAGAAAAAGAGAGGGCTCTCTTGCATCTCTTCGTCTTCTTACAAGGACACCAGTCCTTGACCAGGAATCAAACTCATGACCCTCCAGTGCATAGGCAAATGCTGTAATTACTGAGCATGCTGGCTAGGGCACCAGTACACTCTTAAAATATGCTCTCCATACCACTTGCAAAGTGATCTTTCAAAATGCAAAACTGACCATGTCATTCCTCTACTTAAAATATATTAAGGATCCCCATTCTTAAAATAAGAACAGAAGTCTTTATTATAGTCTGTGAGACACATGGTCTAGCTACCAACTACATTTCTAGCCTCAGTTCACACTGTGCTCTCATGTGTTCTCTGTACTCCCACAACACTGGCTTATTTTGCAAAGTCTTGCAATTTCAGGGCTTCCTCCTGAACATAGTTTTTTGCATATGCTGTTTCCTTCGTTTCCTCCCCCTTTTGCTTGGTTACTTTTTAAAATTTATCCTTCTGACCTCAGTTCAGTTACTTTTGTCCTCAATGAAGCCTTTCTCACCAGTCTGACTAGGCCAAATTCCCTGTTTTCAAAACATGAACTTTAGTAATCACTGAGAAAGAGTCAACTTTCAATCAATTCCATGAATGACCAATTAGCTAAAAATAAATTTGGCCAAAGCCAATTTGCAGAAGACCAGTTCATCACTCTGTTCTAGATAGTTCTCTGCAGTTTTCTTTCTGGAAGAGGCAGAGGCAGGGAGAGCTTAAGTCTTAAATTGCAAGCTTACATGCAGTGAACTGCATATAAGAAGCCCACCATTTGCTTACATTGGAGCACTAAAACATTGGGCATTAGAGAAGGACTTGGCATCTGAAATGTGAAAACATGAAATTGACATTTAGCTCAGACTGACTGTCAAATGTGAGGTTAAAGAGCTGGAATGAAAGGACTGTGTCAAAACTTCTGTGAAATTCAGACTTCAGAACATCCCCAATAATTCAGTGAATTGGTCATTTGGTAAAATGATGATTGGGCAGATTATTTTTCATCAAACTGATTTTCTAGAAATTGGCTTTTGGCGAACTAGCTTTCGATGAATTGTCTGTTAGGGAATACAGAGGATCAGTCATTTGGAAAATTGACTTTTGGCAAATTGGCTTTGTGCAAATTGATTTTTGGCAAGTTGGCCTTTTTGCCCTCATATAACACACTTTGTAGCATTTTTCATAGTTAATGCTTTCCATTTGTTTTATGATTATTAGATTGGTGATGCTCTCCCCCACTATTCATACCTATCACCAGGGGAGAGGTAATATGTGTTTTTATTCACCATTATATTCTCAGCTTCCAGCACAGTGTCTGGCACATAGCAAGTACATAGAATGTATGAAAAAATAACACTTTGCTACAGATAAAAATGGAAGAAAAATGGATTTTAGGCACCACTTAGTTGGACTAATTACCATGTATCTAGAGGAGCTGATTATGAGGCAGTAGCTTCTAGGTAAGTGCCTATATGAAGGCTGTATTTACATATAAGAAAGTACCATTTTAACTTAGTAGTAATAATCGCTAAACTTTATATATTACTAACTTTATGCCAAACTTTATAGTTATTACTCATTTAGTACTTGCAGCAATCCTGCGGGATGGATTACTACTGCTATCCTCATTTTATAGGTGAGGAAGCTGAGAGGTCCAGAGGGGATAAAGAACCTGCCCAAGGTTACCCACCTGTCTGAACACAGACAGTCTGGCCCCAGCATTAGCCAGTATGTTGCAGTTCTCTTGATTCCAGAAAAATGAAATTTTGGTCAAAATCAGATGATGGGGAATGAGTAGTTTTTAACTTTTAATATATCTTAAGGTAGGCATGGAGGAATAAATAGGTTGTGAGAAAGGAAGAGTATTCTGGGCATGGATACTAATGTGAGCTATGAATGCTATTTTGAAAAGTGTCATGGAGCATAATGTTTGATGATGGGCTAAATCATGGCAGGATGTTATGGGAGAAGAGGGATTTTTAAGGTCCTTTGTATCTCCACCAGCCTTCTGAATAGCTAGCCCTAAAACATACAACATAAATAAAAGCAGGGTGCTTGTTTTGTAAGCACAGCATCAATGCAAAAGTACCTCTATTTACACTAGAATTAAAGCAATGTCCTTGCTGTGCACAATTCAGTTTTAAGACAGTTTTTCTAATGTCTCCTTCTTGCCAGATTGTTCCTCCAAGTTCCACCTATGTAGAAATTCTAGAGCTGAGTCCAGTTCTCAAAAGGTCATCTGGATGAGAATGAAAGCAACAGAGGTGAGATGGCTCAATAATAACTATGGAGAGCTTGTAAGCATTATTAAAATATAAAGCATTCATTACCTTGCTGTGCAGAAAGATAGAGATAAAAAAAAAAATAGAAAGAAGTTATTGCTTTAATGCCAGCTTTTGTGCTTATCATTTGGTGGAGAGGAGATTACATCTGTGTATGTACTACATCTAATTTTTACAGCAAATTTTCAAATGAAGTTTTATTCTTCCAATTTTACAAATAATTAAACAAATACAAGGTAAGTAACTTTCCTGAGGTCATGTATCTACTAGATCAGTAGTCACCAACCGGTGGTCCACGGACCACTGGTGGTCCGTAGGTCTGAAAGGTTGGTGACCGCTGTACTAGATGACCATGGGATTCTAACCAAGATCTGCCTTATTTTATTTTTATTTTTTATTTTTAAATATATTTTATTGATTTTTTACAGAGAGGAAGGGAGAGAGATAGAGAGTTAGAAACATCAATGAGAGAGAAACATCGATCAGCCACCTCCTGCACATCTCCTACTGGGGATGTGCCGGCAACCCAGGTATATGCCCTTGAGCGGAATCGAACCTGGGACCTTTCAGTCTGCAGGCCGACGCTCTATCCACTGAGCCAAACCGGTTTCGGCAGATCTGCCTTATTTTAAAACTTGTGTAACTTTCATTACACCATACTACCCTTGTAGGATTGTAAAGTAGGGACAATAATGATAGTGTTGGAAATTGGATGTTTTTTCTCAAGCATATATTGCACAGAATGTGAAGGAAAGCAACGTTCATGCTAAGAAATGAGTGTTGGTGAATGATACAAAGAGTTCGATGCCTGTTGTGAATAGAGCCTGTTTAACTAAATAGAGAAATTTGTTACTGTAGTCATCTGTCAGAACAGCACTATATCAGCCGCACAGTCATCTTTGGTTTGAAAATAGGACTGACTGAGAGGCTGTTCTTGAGAACACACTGTTGAATTTATCTCCAGAGATTGGGTATATACTTGAAAGAGACTCAGTGCATTGAATGAAAGATAAACCACTTTTGCTTCTTGCAAAATTTCTTTTCTCAATATGATGAAAATGTTGATTATTGCTAAAAATTTTTCTGAAGAATGTAATAGCTATAGACCAAAACTGAAAGGTTCAAAATGATGCTTTCACGAAGTTTCAGCAGCAGCTATAATTGGCCTTGCAGGGAATTGTTAATTTCATCAAATTCTATAGAGGCAACAGGAATGGACTCAGGTATATTTCTTTTATCACATTATACTCTATTTTTCTTCTATTGCCACCTAAGGAAACTACTGGCATTAGGCTAAGAGTTATATATATTATTAGTCATTTTTATTGTTGAACTTTATTTTTAGTTAAATATCTCCCCCACCCCCTTTAGTGCTAAAAGCCTGACCGGCATCCTATATAATAAAAAGCTAATATGCAAATTGTCCCCTCAACTGGGAGTTCAACCAGAAGTTCAACCAGGGGGCGGGGTCAGCCGGCCAACCGCCCACAGCCCCTCCCCACAGCCAGCCCAGCCCGATCACCCCAATTGGGGCGGGCTGGCCGGACCCCATCCATGCACGAATTTGTGCACTGGGCCTCTAGTAATAAACAAGCATGTACACATCCTTAGATCTGTGCACTTTTTATTTCTAGACAGAGCTCAGGGCAGTATAAATTTGGGCCTCAAATATTTTAGAAAGAATCCAAATGCATTGTTCACTAACAAATATTTTTTTGAAATAAGATTTTTGTATTTTGGATGGAGACAGAATTTGAAAAATGCCTTCCTTTTTAGAATTGTTTCTAGTCTTTAGCTACTTAAAAAAAAAATCTCTGAACAAATGATTTCCCAACTCTACAAATGCATGCACATGCAATGACATAAATTTTTAACCGGGATTTGTTGTGGTGATATGGAACTGTGCCTTTTAACATTTTTTTGGCATAATAGCAGTAAAAGTTGTACATTTCCTTCTGTCACTATATGAATGATGCAGCCTCATTAATTTTGTGGTTTCATCTGTGAAGGAACTAATTGTGATTTTCATATCTCTATCTTTTAGAACTTTTTAATAACATAGCTCAAGATGGGATTATATAACAGTTGAAATTACTTGCAAAGAAAGCAGTAATGAAGACATTAGTTATTCTATAAGGTTTGGTATGCTGCAGAATCTTTTCAAAGCAGAGCTGGTTCAACATAAAAAAAAAATAAGGTGTTCTGAATATTTCTTTCCTCTGGTTCTTTGAGTTATCAAGAGAGTAATGTAGCTTTGGGCTTTTTTGGTTGTTTTTTTGTTTTAATCCTCACCTGAGGATATTTTTTACATTGATCTTTAGAGAGAGAGGGAAGGGAGGGAGGGAGGGAGG